GCCATTGTTCACATCACCGTTGGCCTCATCCATGGGCTTCAGAATCACCCAAGGGGCATTGACCTCAAATCAAACTTTCAGGCCCTGAAAGTTTGGTGTGGTCTTCTGAGTACAACCAGGGGCTCACTCCTGAGCAGAGCCCAGAGTACTGCTAGGTGTGTTTCCACCACCAACACCACCATCATCCCCTCCACCCCCCAAAAAAGTTGATTATCACTGGGAGAAGCTTCTGGGCCTCCTGAGCACCACTTAGGAGAGGCTTCCCCAGACAAACCAACAAAACACACAAGTAACTAAGTGTGTGTGTGTGTGTGTGTGTGTGTGTGTGTGTGTGTATGTGTGGTGGGGGGGCCAATGAGACAAAGAAGAAAGATGCACTGTGGGTGGGGGGTGCCCGAGAGCTCAGCACGCTCTTCTTTGCTCTACATTTCGACCAGAAAGGACCCATCTTATTCTGTTTTGTTTTATCAGAGGTGAGCACCTTGCAACCCTGGGGCTCAAACCCGGGTCTCCTGATGCAGAGCATGAGCTTAACCCGCGGGTTGTCTCACTTCCCAACCTGTCATTGTTTCTGAAGTGGAAGAAGATGCATCTGAGGGGCTGGAGCAATAGCACAGTGGGTAGGGCATTTGCCTTGCATGCAGCCGACCCGGGTTTGATTCCCAGCATCCCGTATGGTCCCCTGAGCACTGCCAGGGGCGATTCCTGAGTGCAGAGCCAGGAGTAACCCCTGTGCATCGCTGGGTGTGACTCAAAAAGGAAAAAAAAATATGCATCTGAGGAATGAAACCACTCTGGCTTCCAGCTGGAATGTTTGCACATCAGGCATCTCTTCCTGATCCTCCTAGCAGTCTCCCACTCCGCCGGCTCTGCAGTGCCCTTTGGGGCCTGGTGGGCAATGTTGCTGGGGTGTTTGCACCCTCCTAGGACCCCTACTCCAGGGCCTGGACCCAGGAATCCATCCCCTCTGGGGTCTCGGATCTTCCCATCTCTCCTTGGACGACTCTGGGCATCGCTTGTCAGAATCTGCTTCCCAGGTTAAAGGGGTGCAGGTGAATTTCTAGATGAATAATTTTGGCTCCTCTTCCAGCACTTTGGCTAGTTAAGGTGGGGCCATCTGCTTTTCATCTTCCTAGGGGCCTTGCTGAGCCTGAACAGAGAAGGACTGAGTCGGTGCTTAGGGGTTGCAAGAGAGAGGCCGATGGACAGACAGAAGCGGGGAAGAGCAGACATGAAACTGTAGCAAGCAAGAATGCCATCTTCTCGCTTCTCAGACAGAAAGGTCCTCATGACAGGAAGCTTTGATTTTTTTAAGTAGTTATGTTCTTTCATTTGGAGGGGGGCTTCCAAGTGGTTATCAGAAAGCTGGGAGGGTCCTTCTAGGCCAGTGGTTAAATGCGAAGCCCCAAACAAAGTACTTTCAGGCCTTGCCATGCCAGGCACTACCTGGGCCACCCCAGCAAGTGCTTAGGGGACCACACAGTGCCAAAGACCAGACTGGCACTGGCTGCATGCGTGACCTGCACCTCGAGCCCAGTCCCATCTCTCCAGCCCCAAGCAGGCGTAATTTGAAGACTGATTTCTTTTCTGTATCTCTTTCTCTCTGTCTCTCATTGGTGATTTTTTCCCTTTTTCTTCTAATCTGTCAGTTTTAAGCAATTTTTTTTTGTTTGGGGGCCAAATTCAGCAGTGCTTAGGGCTTGCTGCTGGTTCTGTGCTCAGGTATCACTCCTAGAGACCTTGGGGGACAATGTGAGATGCTGGGGATTGAACCCCGGTTGGCCATGTGTAAGGCAAGCTCCTTACTGGCTGTGCTATAGCTCTGGCCCCTGACCAGTGTTCTTACAACAAAGGCCCAAAGCACCTGTGCTCCCCCTGATGCATGCACACGGGCGTACTGTCGTTCCCGGCCCCCCACATGGGGTCTGCGATGTTTGTCAGTGGAAGCAGGGGGGATGGTGCTCTTGTGCAGTTGAGGCATAAATGTCAGACACACACGGCATGCACAGAGAATGGCCGAGAAAATGCCATCGGGGCATCCCCTGTGTCATGAGGAGGGAGGTGTCAAGGCAGGGGTGTCAAGGATGCTCCACTGCCTATCCAGCTGCAGGTCTGGGATCCCTCCATCCAGAGGTATTTGTAAGGGGCTGTCTTGGCCGAAGAAGGTAACAAGACGGATTCTCCCAGAGGGAAGTTGGCTAACATCCATGAGAGCCTCAGGCTGGCATGTATTTGCTTTCTTCACCCCAAAGAGTCTCCAAGTCTGGGGACTTGGGGAAGTCAAGGGGCCCAAAGATCCCAAAAGTGGGGCTGGAACGATAGCACAGCAGGTAGGGAGTTTACCTTGCACGTGGCTGACCTGGGTTCGATTCCCAGCATCCCATTTGGTTCCCTGAGCACCGCCAGGAGTAATTCCTGAGTGCAGAACCAGGAGTAACCCCTGCGCATCACTGGGTGTGACCCAAAAAGAAAAAAAAAGATTCCAAAAGTTTGGATGATCTTACAGGGGGTGCTGTTCTAAGTGGCCCCGTGGGGTGTAGGAGCCCAAGGGGAGGGTCGTGCAGCTGGGCTGTGGGGGCTGCTTCGCGGGAACTGCCCCCCTCCTTCGCAGAAGGAATCCCAGCCCTCAGGTCCTTATCTAAAAACTCTGGGAGACAACTGATTTTGGAATCCAGGCTTTTGTTCTAATTTTACTCTCAATATCTTTTTACAAAAGGCAATCTGGGGCATATGCCACATCTTTACATAACAGCCCCAGGTGGGGTCTGGGGCAGCCACCCCATAATCAGACATAGGAGTATTCTGCAGCAGAATATGAATATTCACACCCAGTAAGTCAACAAAGACTATAAATAGCCTCACATCTGTTCAGGTCATTTGCCACCAAAAGAATACTCAGAGCAAGTGAAAAACAACTTGCTTGTCAGGATGCAGGGGAGGTAGGAAACTGGAGCCTACACATGCTCCCGTAGCCCTGGGGACATGAGGAGAAAAGAGAATCACATCATCTCAGTCCTGCTTAGAACGAACTTGGGTGGCTCCTTCTCCCGGGTGGGGTTTTGGAGGGGCTGGAGCGGGTAGGGTTTTTTCCCAGCACATGGCCCACCTAGGTTCGATCTCCAAAATCCCATATGGTCCCCTCAGCACCATCAGGAGTGATTCTTGAGCACAGAGCCGGGAGTGACTCCTGCTCACTGCTGTGTGTGTGGTACACACACACACACACACACACACACACACACACACACACACACAGATCTTGTTGGAAGGTTCTGGAAATGGACAGAGATCACATCGCCCAGAAAGCATGTTGACATACCCGAAACATACATGAAAACATGTTGGCATGTTCTTGGATGCTAGTCAGCCATGTTCTACCAGCTGAAACCTGGGACCTTCCCTCAGATTGCACCCTACAACTCGTTGGATGAGCTCCAGCTAGGAAGAAGCTCAGGGCTTTGCAAGAAAGGACACAGGTGGGGATGAACGCAGCCCTGTGCTTGTCCCTGGCAAGTTGGAAAATCTTTTCTGGTGTCTCCTTATGTGTCCCGGAAGCTGCCAGACACTCTGTGCTGGGGTGTAGCACAGTGTTGTTAAGGCTAGATGGACACTCACATCTTCATGGCACGCATGTGTGGCAGACCCCCGCCCCCCCCGGGGCACAGAGGCACAGAGCCAGGGCCAACCACATCAGGCTCACGCAGGGCTTGTGCCACAAGGGCGTCAAATTCTCTCTCTCCCTGCTCCCCTGCCCCACTACTCTCCCATCTCTCTGGTGACCCAGTCAGGTTTCTGGGCCACACAGGAGGAAGGTAGCCTGAGGAGAGCAGGTAAACTGGCCAGCAGGTAAACTGAGTCAGGAGCTAGTGTCAGAACAGAGCCATGAGGCTGCTTCAGAGCATCTGTGAGTTAGTAGCTCTTCTGTCCCCAGCCCAACAGCTCCATCTCTGAGTAGTTTCCCTTGGGGGGCGCTCAGTAACCCTTGCCCTCTTCCAAAGCAAAAACTAGAAAGAAAAGTGTCCCGACGAAGCCGGTTGCCTTGGCTGAATGGCTTCTCTGTGCCTGGCCTGGTTTGTCACTGTGATTGACTCCCCTCACTCCCCCCCACCCTTATGCTCACTCTGGGAAGAGGATCCACTATTACACCATCTTTCAGGTGAGAAAATTGCAGTTCACAAGAACGGGCTCTGCTCCTTACTTACTTGAGGCTTTGTTTGCGGTTCTGGGGCTTGAACCCAGGGCCTCAGCTGTGCAAGGCGTGAGTGTTCCCCTGAGCTACCCCCCTGGTCTTCTCAGCTGCTTCAGGAGGCCTTAGGTTCGGGTCGGCCAGGCCCTGAGACCCCATCCTGGGACCATGCTGTGGGATCCCCCGAGGCCCACACAGACGAAGGGAAGGGGGAGTGAAAAGGTGAAAAGCGCTTTGGAGACTCCCCCTAGCACCCAGGTGCCTGAGAACAGAGGGAGGTGAAGCTGGGGAGAGAAGCGGGGGTCTCTCTCCAGGCTCTCCAGGCAGAGTCTGGGGTCTGTGCCCCAAAGGGACGCTGCAGCTCTGGTGGAGGCGCTCCGTGGCTGTGGGCTCTGGATGCGGGGTGGGTGGGCCCCCGATCTCCAAGGAAGCAGGAGCCCGCGCCCTTCCTGGACGGCTTGAGGTGGAGGCAGCCCCGGAGTGATTGGTGTCGGGGTGACGGGTGGGAGACAGCCGTCGCACGCTGGCGTGTCTGCTGCTCTCCCCGGGAGTAGGATCACATCATCCCCTGAAGGTGACAGGAGACGCTCCTTTGGGTGGTGGTTCCGTTCCCCTGGGCTGAGGATGCAAGGAGGGGGCTCGGGTGACATCTGTTTTTTCTTACCTGGGCCTTTCTGGTGCTCTCTCACCTGTGTTGTGTGCATGAAGCCCAGACAGATCCCAGGCCTTGGCGCCTTCCCATGGCGCCCTCTGCTGGCCGATGGCTGAAACATCATCTGCGTCTCTTTCTCCACCTCCCCCCACCCCCCCACAGCTGGACAAGATGCTGGACCCCCAGGTGTGGCGTGAAGCTGCTACCCAGGTCTTCTTTGCCCTGGGACTGGGCTTCGGGGGCGTCATCGCCTTCTCCAGCTACAACAAGCAGGACAACAACTGCCACTTTGACGCTGCCCTGGTGTCGTTCATCAACTTCTTCACCTCAGTGTTGGCCACCCTTGTGGTCTTTGCTGTGCTGGGCTTCAAGGCCAACATCATGAACGAGAAGTGTGTGGTCGAGTAGGTGGCCCCTGGCTCCCCTCCGTCCTCCTCCCCGAGGGCTGGGTGGGCTGTGCACAAGTGGGCATCACCCCTTCCCACCCCCGGTGGAGGGACAGGCCCGCGGGCTCCCTGCGGGGTCCGGGGCCCCAGTGGGCAGCTTCTGAGACATCTCTGCTGGTGACAACCTTGTGTGGTTGTCTGGGAGGTTCTTCTGGGAAATTACCTCTGCATTTTGTTCTGTTTCATTGGCAGGGGGCGGGGGGCACCCAACACTGCTCAGGGTCTATTCCCAGCTCTGTGCTCAGGGTCTCTCCAGGGTTACAAGCCAGGCTTCCTGCATGCCAACCACATGTTCTACCTCTGAACCACCGCTCCTCTGACTGGACCCTCTTTGCTTGGTACTGCAGAAATGCCGAGAAAATCCTGGGGTACCTCAACAGCAATGTCCTGAGTCGGGACCTCATCCCTCCCCATGTCAACTTCTCCCACCTGACCGCCAAGGACTACTCGGAGATGTACAGGGTGATCATGACCGTGAAGGAGGACCAATTCCCAGCCCTCGGCCTCGACGCCTGTCTGCTGGAGGATGAACTGGACAAGGTACCTGGACAGGCATGGGCAGTGGGGCCCAGGGACAGGCCGAGGGGGGCTGGAGCTTGGGGGTGGGCCTCTGACATCTGTGGAGTAGCTCATCTTCTGGCTGAGTGAGTACCTGCTAGGGGTGTGGGGAGGTAGTAGTGGACCCAATGGTTCCTGCAGAGGTCAGCCAAGTCCTTACAAGGAGAAGGTCTGACCCCCACCACAGAAGCCCCAAGCAGTGTTCAGGCATGGACGCCTGCATGTGGCTGAGCCTGTTTCCACATGAGGGTGACAGTACACTGAGTCCAGGTGACATTGTCTGTCCCATGGGAAAGTCAGCCAAGAGTAGGGAACTTGATCCACCTGCCACAGTCAGTCTGTGAGTGTATGCGTGTGTGTGTGTGTGTGTGTGTGTGTGTGTGTGTGTGTGTGTGGTGAGGTGAGGGGGGAGTGAAGTCCGGGTTTCCAACACCCGAGCTTTGAATCACTCCCGGGGCTGTCCTGGCTCTGACTCCCACAACAGCAGCAGTGACCGACCCTTGGTCAGCCTCAGACCTTCTTGCTGGCGCCTGGTGGGGGTCACCAGGCCTCAGTTCCCATTTGCACAGTTGGGACCTTGGGTGTGACTGTTGTGGTGAGGGGGGACAGGAGAGAGGCATACCCCCAGGGTGCATGCCCCATCAGGTGAAAAATCAGCAGCATTCGCTGTCCTTGTGCAAAGGGGGCTGCCCTACCCCCCCCTTCCCTCATGACCCTGAGTGAAGGGTCCAGCTGAGGCCCCTGCCTGTCCTGGCTGTTTCCCCCAGGTCTCCCCCACTTCCCCAGGGGGCGGGGAAGAAGCTCCAAGGGGTTCCACTCCAGCACTCCCTGGTCCTCGGAGCATAAAGTTTAGAGTAACCCCAGCACTCCCCCAAACCATACATGGCCACTTTGCTGTGGTCCAAGGAGCAAATGGAAAACAAGACGCCCCCTTCCCTGGGCATTTCCATGGGCGTGGCCTCATCCTGAGGCTGTAGCTCTTTCTAGTTCTCTCCTTGTTTTCCATCCATGGCAGTGTGGATGGTACCGCATGGCAGGAATGTCATTCTGGCACATGAAGGTGATGACGCAGTCACTGGACTCCATAGCACAGTGCTGCTTGACATAACTGTTTTTCCCCTGAAATTCAGAAAAGGTTTTAAGAGAAGGGAAAGGAGAGACAAGAAGGCTGCGGAGAGTCCGGCGCATGTGCAGGGTTCGAGAGAAAGGTGGAAGCCTTTCCCCTTTTATGCCCTTTAAGGCAGGTGGGTTGATAAAACAGGGGTTAGGGTGTCGAGGTGACTATCTCTGGTGCTCCATCCTCTGGGTCATTTGAGACCTCTGGGTTATCTGGGTCCTAGGCCCCCGGTGATATTCCGCCCCCGCGATTGCTTCCACAGTCCTCACCTCACCCTGCCTTTGTCCCACATTCCCTTTCCTGCAGGGGCTCTAACAGCTGCAGTCAACTAGCAGCCAAGAAAGCATCTATGGTCAAAGATTCTGGCTACAGATGGAGTCCCCTCGAAAAGGGTCCATAGAGCCCACTCTTCACTCGCAGTTTTTCTCCTTGGCTACCCCCCAGAGCCATCCAGGGAATTTTTGAACCCCAATTCCCACATCCATCCCCTAAGAGATGCGATCCTGGTCCCCAGGGTAAGCCCCAAGCATGGGTGCCTTCAAAAACTCCAATGTGGTTATTCATGCTGGGTGACCTTAGGGTTTGGCATTCAGAGCTGGGAACAACCAGGGCAGACTTCTTAGAGGAGGAGCGCCTTATGGGGGCATGATTCTCAATGTCAGCATCTTCCTCTGAAACCCCCAAGGGTCTTGTCCATCCCAGTGCTCCCAGGTAAAGTCCTGAATTGGTGTCTTAGTGGGGGAGCGGGAGAGTGATTCTGCAGCCCACTGAAGTTTAAGACTCACCAGCTTCAGACACGGGATTTGGGCGGTGGTAGAGGTTCGGGTGAAAGAGAGAGCAAAGAAGCCAATGCCCCAAGGGCAGGGTCCGGGTTGGGGACAGGGTCTGGGCTGGTCCTCATGGAGCCCTGGCCCCTCGTGCCCCCTCAGTCCGTGCAGGGCACAGGCCTGGCCTTCATCGCCTTCACCGAGGCCATGACGCACTTCCCTGCCTCGCCCTTCTGGTCCGTCATGTTCTTCCTGATGCTCATCAACCTGGGCCTGGGCAGCATGATCGGGACCATGGCGGGCATCACCACGCCCATCATCGACACCTTCAAGGTGCCCAAGGAGATGTTCACAGGTAACACCCCCGACCGGGGCTACCTCGGGGACAGGACCAGGGCATGGCTCTCCTTTCCCAAGGTTGGCTCAGTCCAGACCCACAGCCTGGCATGCTGGTGCACTCCCTGGCTGCTGGTACCCAATGCCGGCCATGAGCTGGGACACAGTTCTCCACCTTGTCCATCTTCCCTTCTCCCAAAGGGCCTGGAGAAGCTTATAGACGGGGTGGCCCCTGTCCATACTGACTTTGGGCCCCATTTGGATCTTGTCCCTCCCAGCCTCAAAAGCTGTCTGACTGGCAGAGTGGGGCCCCACGTCCCAGCCCTCACTGGGCCTGCTGGAGGGTGGGCTGTAGACCTTGGGGAGGACCCCACCCACCCTGCGCCTTTGCCCCCACGCCGGCCCTCCGGCTCTCTGTAGTGGGCTGCTGTGTCTTTGCATTCTTCGTGGGGCTGTTGTTCGTCCAGCGCTCCGGGAACTACTTTGTCACCATGTTTGATGACTACTCGGCCACCCTGCCTCTCACGGTCATCGTCATCCTCGAGAATATCGCCGTGGCCTGGATCTATGGGACCAAGAAGTAAGGGGGGGTGGGCTCGGGCTGGGCTCTCAGCACACTGGGAATCCCCGAGTCACAGCTTCCAATGCTCCTCAGGGGTCATTAGGGAAAAGGAGGCTCCCCAGAGGATAGGACTGCAGGAGCCAGGGAGGGGCTCTCACCTCTAACCGCGTTTAATGACCATAGCCTCCGCTCTTCAGTGTCTGGTTAAGCTGGCCAGGTGCCTGGTAGATGGCCAGAGAGCCGTGCACCAGAAGCACAGCCCACAGGTGAAAACATCAGCCCAGAGCTGAGAAGAGTGTGACGTTATTAGCCCAGGGCATAACTTCAGGTCGCAAAAGAGGGTTCAGCATTATGATGGGCAGACAGTTGCACACTCACCATCAGCCCTGGCCTTCTCCCTCCCTGAAGAACAGATCTGTATTCCCAGGAATGCCCAGAACTAGGCCCCTCCCACTCACTCAGCAAGGACCTCCCCAACCCCACTAGCCTGCTCGCCCACCGGCCCCACCTGTCTGGACTGGGTCTTAGACTCTGGCTCTAGGCTACCCCAGCCACCTGCTCCCCGTAGGAGATGTGGAAGGGAAGGATACTGGAGAGAGAGAGACAGAGAGAGAGACAGAGAGAGAGAGAGAGAGAGAGAGAGAGAAAGGCTTTGAGACGCAGTTGCAAGGGGCTGTCTCCTTTGCAGTCCGAAAGTCTCTGGATCCCTCCTCGGAATATTATTTTTAAATTCATAAGGCAAAATCCAAGGATTGCATAGAAAATTCATTACACTGAAAATAATACTGAGGCCAGAGAGATAGTACAGTATGTAAGGGGCTTGCCTTGCTCGTGGCCAGCCCAGGTTTGATTCCCAACACCTCATCTGGTCCCCTGAGCCCCACTGCTAGTGATCCCTGAGTGCAGAGTCAGGAGTCAGCTCTGAACACCACCAGGTGTGGCCCCCCAAACAAAAAAGAAAATAATACCCAAATGCTCTTTAAAACTTGTCACCTAAGTTGAGTGCTTTATTTTTATTGCATTCAGTCCCACAGTCTAAACAACAATGGCCATTTCAAAGTAGAGGTGAACAAAGACGATGTTTGTAGGTATCTCGCCATTGTAATGTGATTATACCTGACATTTAATTTGTTGGGATCGGTTATGTAGTTGCTCTCAGTTACCAAGCAGAAAGAAATACAAGATTTCAGTTAGGTGTTACGGAGGCAGGGTTTTCTTCTTCTGTCATTTATGTACATAGCCCATTGGCCTCCCAAAATTCTGCCTCTCGCTCAGACTGGGTGATTAGAAACTGCCAACCAGGCGCTTTCTGCGGTTTGACTTAAGGGGTGTGAATGCACTTCCATGGCTTTCCCAGCAGGGGGAGTCTAGAGTCAGGCCAGTGTGCAGGGGGCTGGTGGGCTTGCCCAGACTGTGTCACATGGGCAGTATCATATCCATGGGAGACATGGGGGACCGGTGTGAGAGAACAACCGGACATAGAGGAGGTGAGAGAAGGGCAGCCAAATCATCCAGTGGGATTAAGGGGAAGGGTAAAGGGAGCTCAGGAGGGAGGGATCAGTCTGGGAAGGCTTCCTGGAGGGGGTGGCGCTGGGAAAGTGTCCAGCTTGGCGGGGGTGGGGTTGGAGGTGGGGGTGCCAACTGAGACCCTCTGCTGCACCTGGCAGGTTCATGCAGGAGCTGACGGAGATGCTGGGCTTCCGTCCCTATCGCTTCTATTTCTACATGTGGAAGTTTGTGTCTCCGCTGTGCATGGCTGTGCTCACCACGGCCAGCATCATCCAGCTGGGGGTCACGCCCCCCGGCTACAGCGCCTGGATCAAGGAGGAGGTGAGAGGTGGCCCCCCTGCCCCAGACCGGATACATTGACGTCTTTCCAGTTTGGGGGGGGAGGGAGGAGGGGGACATATCCGGGGGTGCTCAGGGTTTACTCCTGGCTCTGCACTCAGGGATCACTCCTGGGGGACTTGGGGGACCCTATAGGGTCCAGGGATTGAACCCGGGTTGGTGGCGTGCAAGGGAAGTGCCCTCCCCACTGTGCCATCACCCCATTCTCTTTTTCCCGGTCTTCAGACATGCTGTTGTTGGCGTGTACCACTGTGGCTCACAGCTGAACGGGGGTTTAATTAATGCAAATCACAGCACCTGTGTCAGAGTGAATGTGACAGGGGCAGAGATAAGTTCTGAGAGTGTCACTGAGGAGTGTCGAAGGCCCACCAGGGACTTTGCTGCTGTGATGGGTACGGCCTCCTGGATGGTCAAGCTGGCCTGTGCCTAGAGCACAGACAGTGAAACTGAGGCCTGTCAGTGGAGCAAATGCCCTAGCCCTCTCACAGACACTGAGACCCAGGGGAGTGTGCCCCTGAGGTGACCAGCTCCACCGAGTATCACCCCTGATGATGAGCCAGTCTCCAGGCAGGCATGGTGGGAGAGGTGCCAAGTGGCAGCAGGCAGTGGCCCTGGAGGGCTGGGCCAGGGGGTGGTGGCTGGGTGGCCAGAGGTCTCACCCTGTCCACTCGCAGGCAGCCGAGCGCTACCTCTACTTCCCCAACTGGGCTATGGCGCTGCTGATCACCCTCATCGTCCTGGCCACCCTGCCCATTCCCGTGGTGTTCATCCTGCGTCACTTCCACCTGCTGTCCGACGGCTCCAACACGCTGTCTGTGTCCTACAAGAAGGGCCGCATGATGAAGGACATGTCCAACCTGGAGGAGAACGACGAGACCCGCTTCATCCTGAGCAAGGTGCCCAGCGAGGTGCCCTCCCCCATGCCCACCCACCGCTCCTACCTGGGCCCTGGCAGCGCCTCGCCCCTGGACAACAGCACCAACCCCAATGGACGCTACGGGAGCGGCTACCTCCTGGCCAGCACCCCTGAGTCGGAGCTGTGACCCCCCCAGCCCACCTCACCCCAGCCCCCAGCCCCAACCAGCCAAGGCCAGGCCCTCTGCCCACCATAGAGGGTCTCCCCTGGCTCAACCCCACCCCAGTCCTGGCCATTTCTGCCTCCTAAACCAGATTGGGGGGCCGGAGAAGCTCCACCCTCTATTCCAGGGCCCCGCCCCATCTAACCCTCTGAGATCCTCTCACCAAATCGCATTTGAAGAACTTGGGGTGACCCCTGGGTCCCGATTCCCAGCACAGGGGAGACCCTGAGTCGCCCGTGAAGGGTTACTCTGCTCTCCCCCCTCCATAATCTGCTATCTGCAGTTCTTAGGTCTCGGGGCACCCTCTGTGCCACCAGGTGGTGGTGGCAGAGGCTCTGGGGCGGGGGTGGGGGCCCAGAGGCGGCCTGGCCTGACGCTGGGCTGGATCTGGGCTTCTGTTTGTGCTCTGACTTGAGCATAGGCCTTGCGAGTCCTGGCGGTGGCTAGCGAAGGGCTCCTCTGCCCCCCGTATTTTCTTGCTTAGGGTGCTTGGGATGTGCCCTCAAATCCTGCCGGGGAGGGCCAGGACCCTCCCCACCTTCATTAAGGCTTCGCAGTCTCCATCCCGCCCCCTCCATCTTAGAGCCCAGAATGGGGGTCTCTGTCTCTTCCCTCCCGAGGAGGGTCCCAGAGCACTGGAGACGGTTCACAGCACAATTCAGATGATTTGGAGCACAAAATTGCAAAGCACAGCTCCTCTCCACAGCCCACCCTGACTTTCTAGCTAGTGGCAGCTGCTTCCCTGGAAAGGGGCCCCTGGAATTCAGGAGCTCACCCACCCCCAGGAAGTTTTCCCCAGGTTCACACTGGGGCAAAACATATAATGTCACTGCCCTTTGGGGCCTTTCCTTTCTTCGCACAAGCACAGCCTCCTGGTACACGGTCACTCTGAAAACCTTCCCACGCCTCCCTGGCCATGGTGCAGGTAGGCCCCCGACAGGGCTGGGATACCAGAGGCTGCAAGAGGAGAGGCTGGGTTTCTGCCCTGTAGCCAGTCCTGCGCATCCCCTGATCCTCCCACTGCCCAGGAACTGTCCGCAGTGGACAGAATGGGAGTGTTAGAACCTGAGAGAGAAGAAATGTCTGAAGCATTGGAAGGAAGAAAGAATGGAAGGAAAGAAAGCAGGGTGGATGGAAAGACAGGTAGATGAACAGATGAAAGGATAGATGGATGGATGGATGGATGGATGGATGGATGATGGGTGTATGACGGGTGGATGACGGGTGGATGCAGAGGGTGGGTGGGTGAATGGATGGATGGATGGATGGATGGATGGATAGATGGATGGATGATGGGTGGATGGAGAGGGTGGGTGGGTGGATGGATAGATGGATGCATGGGTTGATGGATGGAAGGGTGGGTGGGAAGATGGATGGATGGATGGATGGATGGATGATGGATGGATGGGTAGATGGATGGATGGACAAACAGACTGATGGAAGACTGTCTGGAATAGCAAACCACCATCTTTGAGTGCCTGGTGGACAGAGCACAGGCAGGTCACAGGAATAGGCCTTCACAGAATGTGCTGAGGCACACTTGTATTTCTGACTGTGCTTGGCATGGGGAGAGGTAGACAAGGCCCAGGATTCTTTCACCTCTTATTCCCTCGGTGCCCCCCCATGCTGGGGGTCCATCCCTCTCAGCCCCACCTGTCCTGTCTGCGGGGAGAGGAGGACCACCTCCCCCAAAGACTTGAGCTTCAGGGGCACAAACTCCCACCTTAGCCCCCCTCACCTGCCTACACCGCCTCCCTGGCCCCATGCCGAGTCCCAAGCAGAGTCAGCAACAGGAAGAGCAAGGCCCTAGGAGACTCAGCTATATATACTCTTCTATATATTCTATTTCTATTGTACATTCAATCTGTACATGTGGGTGTAAACGCTGTTAAATGACAAACCCAATATTATACTGTGGCTGGTGGACTATTTTCATCCTCAGTGCTGTACAGATCTATTTTCATTGTATATTTGATATATTTTTAATTTTGTAGCTTGAGGCTGGGCCAGGCCCCAGCCCACCAGCCTGTGCCGGGGGGCTGGGCCGGAGCCATCTGCTCGGTCCCCTGGTGAGCTCCGGGCTCCGTAGTGCTGGTTGCCTCTGCCGTAGGCGGGGCCCTGTCCGGGCTGCCGTGTTAGACGCAGGGCCCCGAGCTTGGCGTGTGTGCGTGCGTGCGTGTGTGTGTGTGTGCCGTGTGCGCATTGTGGGTGTGGGTGTGTGGGGGGTGCTGACTTTCCTTTCCCAGTGTTTGTCCCCTTCCCGAAGCCCGCGCCGTGGTCCCCACCCACCACTGCCTCCTCTCAGCTCTTTGAGGCCAGGCTCAGGGCGCAGTCCCTCGGGGAGTCCCCGCGGTGGGGTCAGGCCGTTTCTTGCTGGCGACTCATTGCCTTCATACATGGGGCTTGCCAGAAACAGGGAATTTGGGGCCTTTTAAGGGGGGACCCCCACCCCCAATTTATTTTTCAGCCAACCTCTCGCGAATCCTACTCGCGTCAAAATTCTTCTCCTGAAGCTCTGGCTTTTTCAACTAGATCGCCAAGGCCTCGCAAGGCCGCTGCCCTGGGCTTGTCCCTCAGGCGGTCCCGACAGTGTTCAGAGGGGACATCGGGCCTCCTCCCTGTGTTCTCACACACTTCTGCTCAAGCCCCCACCCACTGGGGAGCTGGGAGTTGGGGAGAGGCCCGTGGGACACCTGCTGAGGAGAGATCCTCCCCAGACCCCCCAACGTGCAGGAAGTGGCCGAGGAGGGTCCCTACATCTCTGCCAAGGGTCCCACCCCTGGCTTTGGTGCCGTCCCTCAGTGCCCACTGGGGAGAGCAAACTCCAAGGCAGAAGCCCAGAAGCACCCCAGGCCCTGGCCTCTGCCGACTCTCCAGCCCCCATCACCAGCTTCTTGCTCAGGGAGCCTCCTGCCCTCTCCCCCGCAACCCAGGTTGGGGGTGGAGCATCCAAGTGATGCCTGCAAGGTTGGCTTTCCCTCCAGCAATAAACTTTGGAGTAGCAGGACAAGTCCTTTCAGGTTGGCTGGCAGGGGGCCCTGAGGCTGGGGGGCCGGAAGCAGTATTATAGGGGTGTGTGGGCGGGGACGGGGAGCTGGCGGCTGCCCTTCCTCACAGTGGTCCCTGCCCCCTACTGGGGAAAAGGCAAAAAGAGACTGAATAGGTCTGCCACTGAGTGTCTACGAGGCCCTGAAATGTGGGGCTCTTGCCTCTGCTCTGGGGACTGGGCTAAGGGCCTGGGTCCCCTCTCATGCCAAGCTCTGCTTTGTACAGACCCTAGCACACCTGGCAGGTACCACTGTAGGTTCTGACCCAGTTCAGAGCAATTTAGTTCATGTGCCCCCAGCTGGTCAGAGCCCCTGGTCCAGAGCGTTCCGCCAGGGGAGGGGCAAGGCCTAGTGACCCCAGAGCTCCTTGTCCCCCTTGCCTCCCCTCATGGTGTACAATAAAGTGTCTGTTCTTACCGAAGCCCACGTGTCTGTCTTACCTGCCTGGGAAGTGGGGGGCTGTGAAGGTGGAGGGGATGTGCATCCTGGGGGCATTTGGGGGCAAAATGTGGCCAGGCTGGCTTGGAGAAGAGGCAGAGGGAGATACGAGGGTTGGGTGAGTGGCGGAGGGAAGGCAGAGGAGAGGCACAGAGCTGTTTTCTGAGGGACTGACCCACAGTGATGACCACCCAAGTGGCCTCATGGAGCCCCGAGCTGAGAAAGGACCCGGTGAGGGCCACAGGGCTGGGAGCTGCGGTTTCCATGGAAACACAAGCTAAACAGGGGCACGAGCTCAGGTGAGCCACTTCCGCCTTTATCTCGGTCTCTGGAAGGAAACCACTCCTCAGGGACCTCGTCGGAGTCCAGTCTAAGTGGTCACAAGCTTGAGCTCTACCTCCACCCAGGACAGATTTTTTCAAGGTTTTATTCACACACCAAAACACTCAGCACTGAGGGTCCAAGGGAATCAACACTGAGGGTTCACTAGCTGGGACAGCTCCCTGGGCTTGGAACTCCGTGAGCACTAGACTTAGTGCTGAGGGTTCACAATCCCTTTAAGGGACCTGGAGCTGGGCTGGAGTGATAGCACAGCGGGTAGGGCATTTGCCTTGCACGCGGCCAACCCGGGTTCGATTTCCAGCATCCCATATGGTCTCCTGGGCACCACCAGGAGTAATTCCTGGGTGCATGTGTCAGGAGTAACCCCTGTGCATTGCCAGGTGTGACCCAAAATGCAAAAAAAAAAAGATAGAGAGAGAGAGAGAGTGACTCGGAGCCCCAATCACCCTCCAGGAGAGGTTTTTATTCTACTTATTTTTAAATTTTTATTTATTTATTTTTAGAGCATTACAAAGCCATTCATGGTTGGATTTCAGTCATATAGTATTCCAACAGCCATCCCTCCACCAAGGTACATTTTCCCAGGTTTCCTCCATTCACCTCCCCACCCCCTACCCCTTGCCTGCCTCTTTGGCAGGCACTTTTCTACTGGGAGAGGTTTTTAAGCCCGATGCCCTCCTGCCCAAGTGCCTGGGTACCCCCTGCCAGGTGCATTCTTGCGGCCTTAAGCAAGCAAGCGGAGAGCATGGAAGCGCAACAGAGCAGTTAACACACCCTGGTACATTGACTTGAATCGTCCTTGTTATCTGTGGTCAGCTTTCTGGGCATTAATGTTCAGGCCCGTGGGATCTGGCATGTTTTTCTTACTAGGTGGTAAACTCATAACCCTGAGGCACAAGCTGGAGTCTGGCTTTCCAATATGGAGTCACAGTGGTTCTTCCCAGGCCTCCTGAGAGAGAGACACTGGGGAACGAGGGCAAGGCTCCAGTCCAGGGAGAACTGTTGGATGCCCACTGACCGACTGCCTTGTGGGGCAAATTCCTGCTGGGCCTCAGTGCTGGGAGCTCTGCAAGGGACATGCAGCCCCCCCCCCAGGGCCCTGCTAAGGGAGAAAGCGCCCCTTGTTCTGAGGGAAAGCCCTCACTCTTTACACTAACTCTAGCTTTCGCAAACTTCGGTGCAAAGCAGAGATGCGGGCCGGTGTGATAGGACAGTGCGAAGGGCACTTGCCTTGCAGGCGGCTGACCTGGGCTGGATCCCCGGCATCCCATATGGTCCCCCGAGTACAACCAGGAGTAATTCCTGAGTGCAGAACCAGGAGTAACCCCTCATTATCGCCAGGGGTGACCCCCCAAAGAGAAAAAAATAAAAAGCAAAGATGAAAGATGTTAACCTGCAGAATTGGACCTTCCCTGGTTTCTCACATTTACATCCCGGTGTGTATTTATAGGCCCCTGTGAGGCAGCTCGCGGCAGGGAACCTCGTCTCACCTCACCTTCTCACAGCAGAGAGGTCCGTTCTGAGGAAACCTCCTGGAAGGTTCTCAACAAGTCAGTTCCCAGGGAGACTCCCACTGAGCTCTCTCTCAGAGGCAGACAGGAAGCTTTGGTTTCCTTCTGCCAGAGAAGAAAGTGTGTTTCCAGGAATAGACACCAGATGGCAGGAAAACCTTTCTGTCCCTATTCCATCTCCCTCTGCAGCGCCATCACTTACTCCTTTGGGGGTTCACCTATTCCTTGAACAAACATTCAGCATCCAATATAAACAGGCTCAGCACACTCTTTGTGCGCCAAATACTAATAAACCCAAACCCTCTATCTCACCTTCAGCCCAAGTTTTGCACAAAGGAATCTTTCCACTCCTCCTCAACTGGAAATTGTTCAGAGATCTTAAATGGGACAATATCTAGGAGCTGTCATTTTATTTTTTAATTTTTTTTGGGGGGAGGGCTCCATGCCCAGTGGTGCTCAGGGATTACTCCTGGCTCAGTGCTCAGGAATCATCCCTGGTGCTGCCCAGGGGACCGTATGTGGTACTAGGGATTGAACTGGGGTGGGCTGCCTGCAAGGCAAGGTTCTGACCCGCTGCACTAGATCTCGGGTCCCTCCTACTTCCTCTCACAAATGTTGAGCCCTTCTGTGGACAGTCACCCCCTGGGTGGAGGAGGCTACCTCAGCCCATCAAGTAGTAGGTCGAAGGCTCACGATGCCAGTTCTGGAGGCTGATGTTCCAGCTGGGCCCCCTGCTTCCTGG